CTTTGAGATATTTTGGAAGAGTTCATTCAATGTAGGTTTTACTCTGTATTTTTTTCTCCTTTTCTGCTTTTGCGATGATTGTTCCTTATCCACGTCCACCAGGCTGTTGTAAGTAAAACTACAAAATTAATTACATTACCCAAAAAAAAACCTCAATGTCAAATTATCATTCTCCTACTGCTTCCTGTTGTCTTCTTTTCTTTTCTGCCAGTAGTAACAGACACCTGTTGATTATGTGACTGGTGTGACGCAAAAAAGTTTTTCTTTCTATTTCAATGCGACTACAAAACTCATTGTCGAAAAATGTTTTATTTTCTCCAAATTGATGTTTCCATGAAGTAAATTTATCTCTGTATTTTCAGTTAGTGCAGTTCTGTGCTTGTGAGAAGAGATTCGCCAATATAGATTTAGGAAGATTTACATCTTATCTGTTGAAAATAAATCACATTGTCTCTGGACTTAAACCGCAATGTAGAATAATATTTTAAGGATGAAACTATGATGAGATTTTCTCAAACTAGAATTTTCAATTTGTTTGAAATGAAATTTGCTTAATTTTATTCACTTAAACTTTTTAATTTAAGAGAATTTGGAACCTAACCTAAAAATCTCAGCAACTCTAATTTCCTGATTGATTAAATGTCAGTAAAATCCTCTCTGTCTCCGAAATGGTGGCTTGCAAACATATTTATACTCACATTTTGTCACATTACAACCACAAACAGAAATATTTTTATTGTAATTTAATATGAAAATTGGACACAAAGTAGTATACAATTGTGAAGTGGAATGGGTATGAATACTTTTGCAAACCACTGTATGTAAAACCAGTTTTAAAAAAATGTGTTTTTGATAAATGAGTTCACTAAAACAAAACAAGGTACATGCAGAGAAGAAGCTCAGTGACAGTTTATCAGCATAAAATTATTTGATTTTTTGTCTTGAGACAGGTATGGTCCCAAAATAATTAACTAAATGTAAGGATGGAAATGTAACAAAGAATTAGTCCAGCATTTTAAAGATTAACAAACAACTATTATTTATTTTAATAACACCTCTGGTACTTGTTTTTTTTAAATTTTTTTTTTCTTCCCCTTTTTTCTTTTGTTAGTTGTGTGTGTGGGTTCAGCTCCACCAGTTGATTGTAAGTAAAAGAAAACAAACAAGAAAAAAGTCATTTGATTGCTGCAAAGGAATCTGTTTGGTTAAATACAGACATGTCTGAATATGTCTTGTTTTTTTTAGTTTGTAGATGTACGAGGGCCGTTTACATAATTTTTGTCAGGGTGACATCACATCTATGCTCTCTTTGTTTTTTCTTTTCTCTTTTTTAGTCCAGAGTATGGATTGCTCACCTCCAAGACGTAAGTAAAGCCCAAAACAAATGATCACTGCAATTTCTTGGAGTACTCTGAACCAATATCAGATATTCTAGTTGTACAGCATATTAATTACATGAATGGTGATAGTATGATATTCCCTTTAAAGAAAGAGAATAATTTTACTTTTTAGATATTTTGCTTTTTATTGGGATTTAATTTTCATTGTGAAATCTTTGAAAGAGATCCATCAGTATAGATTTCAGAGTATTTACATTTTATATGTTAAAAATGGTACAATAATTTTTTGTTGGTTTTGCAAAAACCAACAAAGAATTATTGTAATATTTGTCAGTATATATCCGTTCTTTGCTAAATTAATGCTATATTTCCTTTCTGCTCTCTGGTTAGGTTCAGACACGATGTTAGGTATGAAATTGCGTGAAATAGAAAGACAAATCTTTAAGTACTCCATACTTTATGTGTATGAGATACCATTTTTGTGCATAATCTAAATGTGGTCATATGTTTATAGGAACTTTGCATTTTTAAAAGTAAGTAACTGATCTGAAGGTCAAGTGAAATCAGATCTTAGTTTAATGATTCAGATGCAAACACATCCATCATCTACAGAACACATTAACACATAAGCCTTTTCACAGACTGCTCTTGTTTTATTTTAGCTTGTGTCTGAATAATTCTCACTAAATTTACATTTGTTTTGTCTTATGTTTCTGAAATCATTCACCAAGTATAAGGATTTGTGTATATTGGATTTTTGTTCAGCCATTTTGAACACATGGTAGTTCCAGGTCTTACTAGAGCCACAGTTAGATTGTCTGAAGTTGTTGTTGTGATTCTGATGTGTTTTCAATTGTCTGTTTTAGCTCCAAAGAAGAAAAAAGGTGGAATATTCTCTAGTAAGTAAAACAATGAATGATTTACAAGCACAACATCATTAAACAGTTCTCCATCTATTATGGGTTATTAGAAACTGACAATGACATCATTTGGTCTTACTGTTTATTTAAATGGACTAACCTTAAAATTAGGAACATGTTAAATATATTGTTGAATGGTTTTGTCATTTAAAATGTTAGTAATCTGCAGCAGAAACTGACCATTAGATGGCGCTGTGTTTTCAAAGACTGAGTCAGAAATATCCTCTTAGTCAATTTGGGCTCCAGCATCTGACAGGCATTGCTAAGCAAAACAACATCCAAGCCCTGAAACTACTGATGAATAAAACTGCAGCAGTTAAAATTTTAATGAAATAAATAAAAAACGTTGTTAATTAAATGATTTTTTGATTGTTGACTGTCTTAAGTGTTTCTTAATGAATGTCGGTCAAATTTCAAGTTTTATTTTCAGAATTTCAGAAGCAGAGAATCAAGTGAAGATACTACAATTCTTTAATGGATGATAAATTTATGGAGTACATTTATAAATTCACCAGCCTTCAAAGAAAGTGGCAAATATCCTGTGAAAGATTGGCTAATTTCAAGAAAAATTAAAAGCTTCATTAATGACAATCTGTTTGCAGAACCTCTGTATATTGTTGTTGTGAAAGAGTGATACTGCTGTCAGATTGTCATGATTATATGGCTGGCACTAATTTTCAGGAAAGACGCCTCCTGTTAATCCTCCCACAGTAGACAAAGAAAACTTGTAAAACTGTACTAACTTGTAAAAGTGGAGCTTGTAAAAGCTCTGTACTTTTTACCACATTTTAGAACATGGGAGGGTTAAATGATGCATTATTCAATTACACATGCAGAAACATTTACTTGTACCATAATGATGGACGACGTTCCTCAGTAATGCTAAGTTTCTTTTTTTTCTAGGGATCCATAGTAAAGAGATGTCCTGTAGGAGCAACGCTGCAGAAGCCATTGATTGTAAGTAGTATTTATGAATGCAGTGGATTATTGAAACTCACCTCATGTACCCACTTATCAAGCTCTTTTCACTTCACATGTGATGGTGATTTAGATTCAGAAAGGTCATACCCCAAATCTGTGCAGCCCCATAAAGACCCTCTGCTGCAGCTGGTGTCCCTGCAGAAAGCGTCTGGCAGCTGGATGCTTGATGAAGATCTGGCTGCTGTGCTGGGAAAGACCAAAGAGGAGGTGGAAAAGGCAAAACCAGAGTTGGTGGGTTGTAGTCTAAAATAATAACAATAATAAAAAATCTTATAATGTAAATATTAAATAGGAGTTTTTGTATAATAATAACAATAATAATAATAATAATAATAATAATTTATAACAAAAATTAACATTGAAGGTTGCAAAGAGGGGAGTTTAACTAGAAGCAGGGTTAACACCGACTTCCAGTCCATCTGTCCAATTAGCCTAACATGCATATTTTCACACTGAAATCCATAGAACACAGAGAGAACACACATATACTTAGGGAGAACATGAAGGAGCCTTGCAGAAAGGCCCTTTAGTGAATTTAAACCCAGAACTAAGACCACATACATACCGTATTTTCTGCACTATATAAGGCGCACCTAAAAACCTTCAATTTCCTCAAAAGCCGACAGTGCGCCTTATAATCCAGTGCGCCTTATATATGGACCAATATTGAGCCACAACAGGTCTAGCAACTACAGTAAGCAGCCGCTGACTTCATTTTCACCGGTAGAAGAAGAAGCGCGTGGTGCATGCTGGGATAGTTGTCAGGACTCTGGTTTGTTAATAAAGTTTGACTGACGTATCTACCTACAGACCATCTATAATCAGGTCATCTGCAGGTCCCACGCCCCGGGCCAGTCGCGGAAAGCATTCTTCACCGACAGGAGTTGGACTGTTTTGTTGACATTTTTTATGTGAACAAAGTGGCTTTANGAATAATTCTCACTAAATTTACATTTGTTTTGTCTTATGTTTCTGAAATCATTCACCAAGTATAAGGATTTGTGTATATTGGATTTTTGTTCAGCCATTTTGAACACATGGTAGTTCCAGGTCTTACTAGAGCCACAGTTAGATTGTCTGAAGTTGTTGTTGTGATTCTGATGTGTTTTCAATTGTCTGTTTTAGCTCCAAAGAAGAAAAAAGGTGGAATATTCTCTAGTAAGTAAAACAATGAATGATTTACAAGCACAACATCATTAAACAGTTCTCCATCTATTATGGGTTATTAGAAACTGACAATGACATCATTTGGTCTTACTGTTTATTTAAATGGACTAACCTTAAAATTAGGAACATGTTAAATATATTGTTGAATGGTTTTGTCATTTAAAATGTTAGTAATCTGCAGCAGAAACTGACCATTAGATGGCGCTGTGTTTTCAAACACTGAGTCAGAAATATCCTCTTAGTCAATATGGGCTCCAGCATCTGACAGGCATTGCTAAGCAAAACAACATCCAAGCCCTGAAACTACTGATGAATAAAAATGCAGCAGTTAAAATTTTAATGAAATAAATAAAAAATGTTGTTAATTAAATGATTTTTTGATTGTTGACTGTCTTAAGTGTTTCTTAATGAATGTCAGTCAAATTTCAAGTTTTATTTTCAGAATTTCAGAAACAGAGAATCGAGTGAAAATACTACAATTCCTTAATGGATGATACATTTATGGAGTACATTTATAAATTCACCAGCCTTCAAAGAAAGTGGAAAATATCCTGAGAAAGATTGGCTAATTTCAAGAAAAATTAAAAGCTTCATTAATGATAATCTGATCGCAGAACCTCTGTATATTGTTGTTGTGACACAGTAATACTTCTGTCAGATTGTCATGATTATATGGCTGGCAATAATTTTCAGGAAAGACGTCTCCTTCTGTTAACCCTCCCACGCTGTGTGACGCTAGGACAACAAGACAAGAAGGAAGCGGGGGTTGTCCCGTCAAACCATCAGTTCCCAAAACCACAGTCAAAGAAAACTTGTAAAACTGTACTAACTTGTAAAAGTGGAGCTTGTAAAAGCTCTGTACTTTTTACCACATTTTAGAACATGGGAGGGTTAAATGATGCATTATTCAATTACACATGCAGAAACATTTACTTGTACCATAATGATGGATGACGTTCCTCAGTAATGCTAAGTTTCTTTTTTTTCTAGGGATCCATAGTAAAGAGATGTCCTGTAGGAGCAACGCTGCAGAAGCCATTGATTGTAAGTAGTATTTATGAATGCAGTGGATTATTGAAACTCACCTCATGTACCCACTTATCAAGCTCTTTTCACTTCACATGTGATGGTGATTTAGATTCAGAAAGGTCAGCCCCCAAATGTGTGCAGCCCCATAAAGACCCTCTGCTGCAGCTGGTGTCCCTGCAGAAAGCGTCTGGCAGCTGGATGCTTGATGAAGATCTGGCTGCTGTGCTGGGAAAGACCAAAGAGGAGGTGGAAAAGGCAAAACCAGAATTGGTGGGTTGTAGTCTAAAATAATATTAATAAAAAAAAAATCTTATAATGTAAATATTAAATAGGAGTTTTTGTATAATAATAATAATTAATAACAAAAATTAACATTGAAGGTTGCAAAGAGGGGAGTTTAACTAGAACCAGGGTTAACACCGACTTCCAGTCCATCTGACCAATTAGCCTAACATGCATATTTTCACACTGAAATCCATAGAACACAGAGAGAACACACATATACTTAGGGAGAACATGAAGGAGCCTCACAGAAAGGCCCTTTAGTGAATTTAAACCCAGAACTAAGACCACACACATACTTAGGAACAGATACTTAGTAACTGCTGATCTCCAAGTAGTCAGTGAGATACTTCCTAGTGCCGCCTCAGTGAAGGAAAGCTACTGTATAACATTTCTCCTTTTCGTTGTCCTGTTTCATCTCTCTGTGTTTCATTAGGTCAACAATGAAGTGTGGGCCTCCATTCTGGCTCTGATTTGGCTTCATGCTTTTAAGATGGATGCAAAGGAGGAGTGGGAGCTTCTGTCTATGAAGGCTGCATCATGGATTAAAGCTCAGAACGGTAACATACATAATCACCAGGGAACTCCTGTTTTTAAGTGTGTATTAAAACAGATGTTAAAACTGGATGCGAAAATAACATTGGTG